GCTTTCATTCAGTATGAATGCTGATATATACACACTAATTTAATTTAGGACGTTTATAAATAATCAGTGTTGGGGAAAGTTACTTTTAAAAGTAATGCATTACTAAAAAATAACTAATATCGTTACTCACTAGTTACTTTTTTTGGAAAGTAATGCGTGATGTTTGGTTCAATTTATTCTTTTGATTTGGATCTTTTTAATGAATCGTTTGATCCAGTTTACAAATCTGAAATGAATTATTCATTTACAGCAGTCAAAAGCTCACTTTTTGCTTTTGAAAAAAAAAAACACCACATGAGTCATGTGGATTACCTTTATTACAGGCTACTTTAAACTTTAAAATATCTTGGCCTACATAATTCAGCTATTTTAAGCCTAGACAGCATCCCCAAAATCTGCAGGGTGAATAGGCCTATATGTAGGTATAAATATTAGCTGGCAAAACAAGACTGGATTTGTTACCAAAAAATTTGCCCCTGTTTTTGCATGAAGAATTTTCAAAAAAGAAATATAGATGGGCAAGAAACTGCCGTTATTTTCATAGTAAGTCATTGGATTTTATCATACTTCAGGCCACACTTGGAAAGGGTGATCTGAGGCATTGTTTACCCAAATTCCACACTGTTCAAAGGAAATTAGCAGGTACTTTAAAGTCATGAGTGCTGGGTCTCCTCCAAGGGCTGATTCATTTTGCTTTCCTCTGAATGGATTTTTAGACGTGCAGAGCTGAATAGGAAGGAAAACATTTAGTTGAAATGTGAATAAGGAAAAATTTAATGAAACTGTTGCTTTATTGTGGGCAGATCACTTTGTTGATGTCATATGTTTTCTCTACAATTTTGTGGAGATTTGTAGATAAAAAAAAAAACATTTTATTGACAAAATGCAATTGACCACAGTACTAAGGCAATTGTTGGTACAAGTATTGGCATGCATTCTGAATAAAGAAGAGTCATACAAGACTAATTCATACCAGAGAACATTTGGAGCTGTGTTCCAAATGATCTCCTTAGGCTGTTGGTGATGTGCTGGTAAAAGCCCCATTCACTCAACACACAAAAGAGTATGGACTCAGTAATGAGGTGCAAGACATGATTTTCTGTCAGAACTCAGAAGTTAACTTTCATATCACTTCATTGGAAGTTTGCAAAAGTGCTGAAATAAAGAACAAGGACACAAGTCTATTATTCAGGGATGACTTTCCCCGCGGTGATGCAACTTATATCTTTCTCTTTTTGCCTTTACATTAAAATTTACATATTTTCTTTCACTTGACACACAGCCTGGGCAGACACAAATGGTGTGACCTCGGTTTCAACCTAAATGAGAGGCTAAATTTATGGAAGGAAGTGCAGTAAGACAGTTTTGGCAGTGCGAGTGCCTATGCAGATGCCTGCCCAGCTAGAGAACACCATTATCTGGCAAGGCTCATTCATCAAAGAAACATGGGGGACCTTACTCTAATTTACAGGTCCTGGAGCATGCATCAGATTGAATGTTATATTTGGCTGAAATCGTCATCTCCACTCAGAGCTGGCTGCGAATTAAGAACATTTTCTCATACTGCTGAATATCTGTTAACTCTCCATTAATACTGCAGGTCATCTTGACCCATTGGAAAGTTTAAAGGGATAGTTCACCCAAAAAAATTTTATTCTGTCATCATTTATTTACCCTCATGTTACATAAAAGAGGTTCTATAAGGAGCAGGCCCAAATGTAAAAAAAATTTAATTAAATTAAAATTAAATCACAAATGTCTTATGAGGTACCATTTTGAATATGCAAAATAAAAGGTGGGGTAAAAAATGCAATATAAATGCAAAATAAAATTTGAGAGCTACTACAATTTTTGAGTTGAAAAAACATCAAATTTAACTTTTTTCTTCGCATATCATGTGGAATAGTTGGAATTTTAATGATCCACTGCTCTGGGACTAGAAAGAAGATCCAAATGCTGCCTTTAATTCATAGTGGTCAATGAGAGTCCAGGAATCAGTAAACAAATAATAAAGGGAATCCAGGAACAGGCATGGAGGGCAAAATCCACAGAAACCAGAACTCAGAAATGCAATGTTAACAGAGTGAAGACTTCACAAAGATTAAGTGGAAACACAGAGTTTATATAGGCAAACCTCAACAAGCAAACCGGTCACAGGTGGAGGTTATCAGGCCATAAAGCATTCATGCAAAGGATTCTGGGAAATGTAGGAGAAGCTAAAGAATAGGAAGAGTGCTCTCTGATGAAGATCATAGGGCACTCCAGCTAGTGGGTGTAACAGGAATATTGGACACTAGTTTTATTTGGGCTAGTTTTATGGTACTTTTTTGTCATTGCTGGTTCTGTATGACTCCGAACAACATTCACTTTTAGTAAATGGAAAAAAAGAGGACATGCAACAAAACATCTTTACTTATGTTTTACAAATGAGATCAATAAATTATATTTTTAGAGGAAACCTATCCCTTTTCGATATGCTGGAAAAAAATTCTCACAAATTTCATTATGCTTTATCTGATCAAAGTCAATAAAACTTGAGTTAATTTTTTGGCGCCTTTATTCAACATATAATAAACATCAGTGTTTCATTTGTTTAATTCTGAGCATTAGAACTGGTCAAGAGAGATTACTCATCATTGTTGGTAAAAGAAAAAAAAAACTGTAAACACAGATCCACACTGAAAATCTTAAAATCAAATTTATTTCCTGAAGATAAACAAAGTTTCAACATTTAGCAAAATTTTAAACAACATTCAGATGTCAAATGAATAAGAAATATTGTCAGATTTACATGATAAGCCAGTTAAATTCCTCTTTTTATGACCACATTGGCCGATACCATTAAATGAATTGAGAGCAGCAGTACAAAACGTTGTTTTGTTGGACTGTGCTGGGTAAACATGTCATGTGTGTTAGATGTTAAAACAAATCTCTGGCGCCTTGCTTTGACTGTGGTTGATGCAGGTTAGTCATTAGGACCTGTGTCTGGAGAGGTAGTGTGAAAACACACAAGAGAAAGTGAATGTGTAACCTTAGAAGGCAGCAGAAGCACCTTGGAGATGCTCTGTTATATTGCTTGATTGTGGTTACGAAGGGCCCAGGCCCTCGGTAAACCTGGGCATCAAGACACTGTATCTAAAGTGCATCCATAACTCATGTAAATTTACATCCCAGGAGAACATCAAGTGTGATGGATGCATCAGAAGACTCTTCCACTGAAGCCAAGGATCAAAGAAGCATAATTTCATTTGGCATATACTTCATTGAATTTTAAGGGCACACAAACAACATGCCCACCCTGTAACAATGAAACAGGAGTATGTAGTGATTCACCTTGCAAATGCTGGCTGGTTTAAAAAAATCCACTATGGTTCTTTCAGCCATAAAGGAATTTAAAGGTAGGATTGAGGCTGACTTATGACGAGTCATAGACTCATATTTACTCAAACCACATATGATTCTCTTGGAAACAGCTGCTGGAAAGTCAAGGTCATTTTCTGAATAAACATCATCAGACCCAAAAACTAATCATCTTTGGTCAGTTTGATGTCAAACAGACATGGGCCTGAGTAAAGAGTAGAGAAGAGAAATGGGAAAAGTCATTTGATTTCACAGTCAAAGGCGGCGAGGAATCTGAGGAGAGTTGGCTGACTGCTCTGAAATTCTACGAAATAACTTTTTTTGAACAAATTTCCCTGTTGTCCTATAAAAAAACTATTTGCTGACACTCAAAGTCAATATTTAAATAACATGCTTTTTGGCCTGCATCAGTACACTCATTTGTATTTGTATACGGGTGTGGAGGGAAAAGAGAAAGCCACAAAAATCTTTGACAAGGTGCAGTCTTTGACAAAATACATGAAGATATATTCACCTAGTTCAATGTAGAAACCAAGATTCTAACCAAGGATTAAATTCTCTTCCAGTGACTCGGCATCAGTGTGGAAAAGTGTTGAACAGACAGGCCAAATAATCCAAATCTTATCTGTTTGGTCCATTCAGATGTGAAAGAACAGTAAAAACCTTTTATAACATCCAAACAACAGGATATAGATCTTCTGGCTTCTTGGAATGATGAAGTAAATTAAATTTAAGGATTTTGGTTTAGTTTCATTTAAAAAATCTAAATTCTTAAAAATATTTCCATAGCATAGCCAACAATTCTTCCATGACAAATTTAATGTTGAAACTTACTTATATTCTATGGTGCTTCTGTATCACAATTACATAGCTAACATTTACTTACAATTGAATGAGATTATATAACTTTTCCATGATTTAGTGGTTCTTTTCAACCTGCTCTTCCTCGGCCAGACAGGCAGAGCCAGGGATCTGAATTGACCACAGATGTGTTCCTTTGAAAATCTTTAAAGTGTTGGTTTATAATTCACAGAGTTCGGACATTTTACACTCAATCAACATCCAGCAAAGTATTTTTTCTCAAGCTCTTATGTGAACTGATTATTTTTAATAAGGCATTTCTACAGCTGATGATTTTTCATTGAATCAAAATTTTGCTGAATCGTGATGAATAATAGATACAAAATCTTCATGATTTATTTTACCTAGAGTAGCCTTATTGAATTAGCTATTTTTTAAGATCACAACAATTCATAATTTGATGCCTGACCATCCAAAGTACACCCAACCCCCTTCAAATACTTGAGGACCATCGGCAAACCAGATGCACTAACGTGATGCAAAGAGAGACTAGAACTTCATGACAGCTTGTCTGACTTTTTCGAGATGGAAGAGCTTGTTTGTTTTGGCTAGACTTAAAACAGACTTGGTCTGGCAGCGCTAGAGGTTCGTGAAACTGAGATTGTGGGTGGAGAGCCATTTTTGCATTACACTTCAGATTAACACAGGTTTTGGTGAAAAAATATCTTGTGGAGATATTTCTCACCAGAAGATCATTAGCTGTGCCAACTAAGAACTGCAAAGTCACACTTTCTGAACAGACTATAATATGTAAACTGGCACTAAACTAATGGGACTACATTGCAAACTCGACAGTGCTCTATTTTTAATAATGTTGAAATAGCATGGGATAGCTAATTCACTTGCATTTCATCTTTTAGTTCATTCATGGTTTTAGACAAACAGAAACTGAGAAAGAAGGGAAAATTAGCCTAAAATCACTGCTGCTCACACACCTGAACGCATCCATCCTTGTTCATGGTCAATAGAATGTCTTGTGTATTCAACCAGAGGCGGCATGCCCATTCAAAGTGATTTTTGAGCCAAGTGGATTTTGAATGCCGCTTCCAAAAGACAAAAAAATAGCCAAATAATATTTTCTATATTTGATACAATCACACCAGCATGATTAAATCGTTCAGCGTCAAATCAGCTTCTAAAATTCAAATCTGCGTTCGCTGGCTGGCGCTGAGCCAGAGACACGTTTTTACAGCACTGTGCATTAACCAATCAAACACAATGCTGTTGAGCTTATGAATGCAATGACCAATCAGAGGTGTTCAGATGAGTCATCGCTAAAATGCCGGTGTTTTCTTCACTCACTAGCTGTCTGAATACCTCTTTCTGGCGAATTCTCTCATTAGAAACAACAAACTACAGATGTGTGTATGAATCTGTAATTAAGATATTCATATCACAGTGTAAACGGCTTCAGTGATTTTAATGGGAGTTTTTGAGAGTGCTTGAACTCTGTGAAAATGTTCTTTGATAACGTTAATGTTCTTTGCTGTCTTTCTGTACAATGAAAGTGTTATGATAAGTAGCCTAACTTACAATGTTTTTATTCATATTAACTTTCAATGTTAAATTCACATTAAATATAAAGTCAGTCGTATTAAAACTATGTTATGGCATGACACCCATATCTGTTAATTAAGTAAACAGACAGGTTTTTATGTATAGTTAATAGACTACATTATTAGGCTACTTTGACCATCGCCTACTATCAACTAGCATAATCTATAAAGGTGAGAATCTAGTTATTTAATGATCTAGTTAATGCATTTGGGAATGTTTCGAATAAAAAGGGAAAAATAAATAAAACATGAGTGCTATTTTGGCTGCTGTGTGTCACATGATGTGTTAGATGATGTTCAAATTCTTCTAGTTATATACATAAAGTGACTAAAAGATCAGAAGTCTTGCAAAATAACTGAACATGCAGCAAAAATGTTGCTTTTTTGTGTAATTAAGCAGTTTCATGTATACATGTTTAGGCATGTAAAAGTAGCTTCAATTAATACACTTTGACCAAAGCTTTATAATTCCTGCTAAGCTTATAATAGCTTGGCTTAACTATAAACCCAAGTTTATAATGTGTGTTCCCACCACCACCCACACACTTTTCAGATCGCTCTCAAGCTCCTGGCTAGCAGGTTTACAGATAGATGTTTTCCTGTCTATTGCTATGAAACCAGTAGAAGAGCTTCTGGCTGATCTTCTCAAAACAGACACAGTGCTGACACACAGTACGAAGAGGCCCACCGAAAGAGCCAAAAATAAGTATACAGCAAAGTTCAATGGGTTCATCACACACTATTCCAGTTTTAAGGATCAAAAAATTAAGCATGTTACTCCCTTGTTGTCAGCTAAATGATGAATTACATATGGCAGAGGGGTCCTCATAAACACTGGTGGTTTGAGGAGCGTGCTCCTGGCATTATCTCCATTAACGGCTGCCAGAAGATAATGCTGCACTGTGATTTATGTGGTGTGAAAACTGAGGCTACAGGGAGCAGAGAGCTAAACAAGTGGAAGCTTCAAGGAGTAACTTAACAAAGGATAAACACATTAGAGGAATGTAGCACCACACACAAGCCACAGTCCTGGCTCAGATGCACCTATCATCTGCATCATCTGCAGCTTTAGTGGTTCTTTTCAACCTGCTCTTCCTCGGCCAGACAGGCAGAGCCAGGGATCTGAATTGACCACAGATGTGTTCCTTTGAAAATCTTTAAAGTGTTGGTTTATAATTCACAGAGTTCGGACATTTTACACTCAATCAACATCCAGCAAAGTATTTTTTCTCAAGCTCTTATGTGAACTGATTATTTTTAATAAGGCATTTCTACAGCTGATGATTTTTCATTGAATCAAAATTTTGCTGAATCGTGATGAATAATAGATACAAAATCTTCATGATTTATTTTACCTAGAGTAGCCTTATTGAATTAGCTATTTTTTAAGATCACAACAATTCATAATTTGATGCCTGACCATCCAAAGTACACCCAACCCCCTTCAAATACTTGAGGACCATCGGCAAACCAGATGCACTAACGTGATGCAAAGAGAGACTAGAACTTCATGACAGCTTGTCTGACTTTTTCGAGATGGAAGAGCTTGTTTGTTTTGGCTAGACTTAAAACAGACTTGGTCTGGCAGCGCTAGAGGTTCGTGAAACTGAGATTGTGGGTGGAGAGCCATTTTTGCATTACACTTCAGATTAACACAGGTTTTGGTGAAAAAATATCTTGTGGAGATATTTCTCACCAGAAGATCATTAGCTGTGCCAACTAAGAACTGCAAAGTCACACTTTCTGAACAGACTATAATATGTAAACTGGCACTAAACTAATGGGACTACATTGCAAACTCGACAGTGCTCTATTTTTAATAATGTTGAAATAGCATGGGATAGCTAATTCACTTGCATTTCATCTTTTAGTTCATTCATGGTTTTAGACAAACAGAAACTGAGAAAGAAGGGAAAATTAGCCTAAAATCACTGCTGCTCACACACCTGAACGCATCCATCCTTGTTCATGGTCAATAGAATGTCTTGTGTATTCAACCAGAGGCGGCATGCCCATTCAAAGTGATTTTTGAGCCAAGTGGATTTTGAATGCCGCTTCCAAAAGACAAAAAAATAGCCAAATAATATTTTCTATATTTGATACAATCACACCAGCATGATTAAATCGTTCAGCGTCAAATCAGCTTCTAAAATTCAAATCTGCGTTCGCTGGCTGGCGCTGAGCCAGAGACACGTTTTTACAGCACTGTGCATTAACCAATCAAACACAATGCTGTTGAGCTTATGAATGCAATGACCAATCAGAGGTGTTCAGATGAGTCATCGCTAAAATGCCGGTGTTTTCTTCACTCACTAGCTGTCTGAATACCTCTTTCTGGCGAATTCTCTCATTAGAAACAACAAACTACAGATGTGTGTATGAATCTGTAATTAAGATATTCATATCACAGTGTAAACGGCTTCAGTGATTTTAATGGGAGTTTTTGAGAGTGCTTGAACTCTGTGAAAATGTTCTTTGATAACGTTAATGTTCTTTGCTGTCTTTCTGTACAATGAAAGTGTTATGATAAGTAGCCTAACTTACAATGTTTTTATTCACATTAACTTTCAATGTTAAATTCACATTAAATATAAAGTCAGTCGTATTAAAACTATGTTATGGCATGACACCCATATCTGTTAATTAAGTAAACAGACAGGTTTTTATGTATAGTTAATAGACTACATTATTAGGCTACTTTGACCATCGCCTACTATCAACTAGCATAATCTATAAAGGTGAGAATCTAGTTATTTAATGATCTAGTTAATGCATTTGGGAATGTTTCGAATAAAAAGGGAAAAATAAATAAAACATGAGTGCTATTTTGGCTGCTGTGTGTCACATGATGTGTTAGATGATGTTCAAATTCTTCTAGTTATATACATAAAGTGACTAAAAGATCAGAAGTCTTGCAAAATAACTGAACATGCAGCAAAAATGTTGCTTTTTTGTGTAATTAAGCAGTTTCATGTATACATGTTTAGGCATGTAAAAGTAGCTTCAATTAATACACTTTGACCAAAGCTTTATAATTCCTGCTAAGCTTATAATAACTTGGCTTAACTATAAACCCAAGTTTACAAGTTTATATCCCACCACCACCCACACACTTTTCAGATCGCTCTCAAGCTCCTGGCTAGCAGGTTTACAGATAGATGTTTAGATGTTTATTGCTATGAAACCAGTAGAAGAGCTTCTGGCTGATCTTCTCAAAACAGACACAGTGCTGACACACAGTACGAAGAGGCCCACCGAAAGAGCCAAAAATAAGTATACAGCAAAGTTCAATGGGTTCATCACACACTATTCCAGTTTTAAGGATCAAAAAATTAAGCATGTTACTCCCTTGTTGTCAGCTAAATGATGAATTACATATGGCAGAGGGGTCCTCATAAACACTGGTGGTTTGAGGAGCGTGCTCCTGGCATTATCTCCATTAACGGCTGCCAGAAGATAATGCTGCACTGTGATTTATGTGGTGTGAAAACTGAGGCTACAGGGAGCAGAGAGCTAAACAAGTGGAAGCTTCAAGGAGTAACTTAACAAAGGATAAACACATTAGAGGAATGTAGCACCACACACAAGCCACAGTCCTGGCTCAGATGCACCTATCATCTGCATCATCTGCAGC